CCGCGACGCCGCCGACGCGGACGCCGTCGCCGCGCGGGACCCCGCGGGCCGCGACGTCTTCGCGCCCGCGGACCGCGTCGCCTTCGTGCGCCCCGAGGAGCTGTCGTCGCGCGGCTGCGACGCGTCCAACGTCTACGACGAGGAGCTCCCGGACCACCAGCAGGAGTTCTCCGACGACGAGGACGCGCAGGCCGCCAAGGCCCTCGCGAAGAAGCGCGGCCGCGACGGGGGCGGGGCGCCGCCGGTGTACGAGGGGCCGCCGCCGCCGCCCTAGAGTGGTCTGGACCTTACTCGGTCGCTTAGGCGAGGCGGAAGGCGGCGGAGCCGGTGATGGCCGTCCGGCAGATGGGGCACCGGGCGGACGTCGCCCGGTGGGACGCGGCGCAGGACGTGCAGAAGCACGCGTGCTCGCAGGGGAGGAAGGCGACGGACCGCGCGGCGTCCTGGCAGACGATGCACGCCGCGAGGTTCGCCATCGCGGCGGTGGTCGGCTCGACGGCGGGCGCGACGCGGCGCCGCGCCGCCGAGATGGGGCGCACGAGGTCGTCGTTGTGGGCGAGGTTGTCCAGCGCGTCCGTGGCGTACTCCTTGGCATCGTCGCTGCCGTTGCGCTCGAGCTCGACGAGTGGTTCGATGGCGCCGGCCTCTGCGATCATGGCATCGTAAGCGTCGTCGGCGGACGACAGATTCCTCAGCGCGCGCGCGGCCCGCTTCTTGCCGTCGTCGCTACCGTCCCGCAGCAGCTCGACGAGCGGCGCGATGCCCCCGGCATCCACGATCGACTGAGGCGCGATGTCGTCGCCGTTCCACGCGAGGTTCGCCAGCGCGCGCGCGGCCTGCTCCTTGCCGCCGTCGCTGCCGTCCCGCAGCAGCTCGACGAGCGGCGCGATGCCCCCGGCATCCACGATCGACTGAGCCGCGTCGCCGCCATTGTCCGCGAGGTTCGCCAGCGCGCGCGCGGCCTGCTCCTTGGCGCCGTCGCTGCCGTCCCGCAGCAGCTCGACGAGCGGCGCGATGCCCCCGGCATCCACGATCGGCTGAGCCGCGACATGGTAGCCGTTGCCCGAGGTGAGGTTCACCAGCGCGCGCGTGGCCCACTTCTTGACTTCGTTGTTCCAGTTGCGCAGGAGGGCGACGAGCGGCGGGATCGCGCCGGCCGCCACGATCAAGGCATCGTTATCGTCGCTCGCGCAGGATAGATCAGAAAGCGCTTGCGCGGCGCGGACCGCGCGCACATCATCGCCACGCTGCAGGGTCCGCACGTGAGCAGCAAGGGTCTCGTCCATCGATGGTGACCGAAGACTCACGCGCTAAAGCTGAATTCATGAAGCACGATGCCTCGTCGAGAGGCAGCCCCACTTGTGGGCACAGGGGACTTTCCGCCGTCGCCGCCGCCGCTGCCACCGCGCCGGCCGCCAGCGCGGCGCGTCGGCGCGGCGCCGGAGCCATACGCCCCGCCGCGCATCGCTGCCGCGCGAAGCGGTTCAGCGGCGGCGGCCCGGCGCGGCGCCGATGACGTCGTCGCCGCCCGCCGGCAAGACGGCGGCCGTGAAGCAGTCCTTCTCGGTGCGTCGGCGTCGCTCGCATGATTCCGCGCGCGCAGCCGTCCGCGCCGCGC